CCAGCAGAACGCTTCCACTGCGCCGTAGAAAGAAGTTAAAGATAAAGAATAAAAGTTGAAGCTAAAGAATAAAAAGCTGAAGGGAAAGCCAAAGAAGAAAAGTTTGTTAGGCTAACTAAGATAGAGAATAGAATTTGATTATTAGAAATCTGAGCGATTTAAAGACTGAAATTTGTGCAACGAAGAAGAAGAAGAAGAAAATATTTAAGTTATCTTTTTTGTCAGATTTGCATAACTAGAAATATCAATGGCTGACGAGTTGAGAATACCTAAACTAGATGGTAATAATTATTATTCCTGGGCTATAAGAACTAAATCTATTTTGATCCAGAAGGACATATGGGATGCGATTGAGCCTGGCTTTCCTAGGGAAACTACAGAAAAACAGAAGCGGAAAGATAACTTGGCATTATCTGTCATATTATTAGCAGTTGAGGATTCATTCCTAGATGATATCGGTGATTGCAAGCGAGCGATTGATGCATGGCAGATACTGGAGGACATCCACACAAAGTATGGCTTGCTGCATATATTACAACTACTGAGAGAGTTTTACAACATTGTCAAAAGAAATGACGAAGATATGAAAGAATATTTCGCGAGAATAATGGAATGCCATAGAAAATTAGCAAAGTGTCACCATGGATTTGGGGATGGCGAATTGGCTCCTAACAGAACTCACTGTTATAGCCGCTCGACAGATCGTGGAAAGTTTTTGTCGTATTCTCTGTAGTCCATGTGCCAATAGTCCAGGAGGGTCAGAGCATGGCGGACGTTCCTGGCACTGAACCACGTCGGTGAGGCGACATTGCTGTAGCAGAGTGAAACTTACGCCTCTTTGAAGCATGGGTGGTCAGACTTGGCCAAACTCTTCATGGAAGTGTAGACATAACTGGCCACTTGGGCTGATGGTTCGTCCCACACAGAGAACGCGATCTTCTCCCAGTGACTGAGGGTGAGAAGGCGAGCATGCCGTGATCCTGATCTCATAGTCCTCCGTGTGGTTGAAGTAGATGGGGAACAGCAGAGACACCGTCTACACACGCGATCGTCAAAACTAGATGTCAAAAACTAGATGTCACCATACTAGATAACACTAGTTCACACTAGATAACTCAAAACTAGATGTCATCTATTGACCGTCGCCGCAAACTAGCGGAATGTGGGGCCCAATATATTTTATGTAAAAGGTAACCAAGAAAAATATCCACTAATATAATGAATGAGCATTAATTGCGCTTATAAACATTGAATATGTAATATATCTAAAAATATCTCTATATATCTATATATATATTTAAAATAAAGAAGGCATCTCCTGACCACGAGCACATGTGCTTTTTAGATGGCAGAGCGCCATCTAGTGGAGCAAAAATAAACTAAACGTTTATTTAGCTTGCTCCGTGATATTTGGCCAACCCAAATTTAATATCAACACCTGTGTGTGACCCACTTATCTTTTATTTTTGTCAATTGTTTTTTTCATATATATATATACTATAGACGAATGGCCCGGGCAATGCCCGGGTTTTACCCGAGTGCGAATATATTTTAAAAACGTTTTAATTCAAATACTATTCGTTACAATTATAAATTGGCGCCATGGATGTCACTCTTGTGAAACGTCCCGTTCCAAACTGTGTGTTTTTAAAATGTTTTAACTATATATAATATAACGGTATAATAACGGTATAAATAAATAATGAGCCTATAGCCTAGTGTGGTCATGGCATCTGCCCGGTAAGCGGAAGGTCGTGGGTTCGATTCCCATCCCTTGACCTTGTATACATCTTGCTTCCTAGGGTTGCCTAGAGTGGCCGCTATAGACAGGGTGGCCTGTATAGACAGGTGGATGTATCACACAGCTGATAACAGGGTTGCCTAGAGTGGCCGCTATAGACAGGGTGGTCTGTATAGACAGGTGGATGTATCACACAGCTGATAACAGGGTTGTCTAGAGTGGTCGCTATAGACAGGGTGGTCTGTATAGACAGGTGTATGTATCACACTGCTGATAACAGGGTTGCCTAAAGTGACCGCTATAGACAGGGTGGTCTGTATAGACAGGTGAAGGTAACACACTGATGATAACAGGGTTGCCTAAAGTGACCGCTATAGACAGGGTGGTCTGTATAGACAGGTGGATGTATCACACAGCTGATAACAGGGTTGTCTAGAGTGGCCGCTATAGACAGGTGTATGTATCACACAGCTGATAACAGGGTTATCTAGAATGGCCGCTATATACAGGGTGGTCTGTATAGACAGGTGAATGTAACACACTGCTGATAACAGGGTTGTCTAGAGTGGTCGCTATAGACAGGGTGGTCTGTATAGACAGGTGTATGTATCACACTGCTGATAACAGGTTTGCCTAAAGTGACCGCTATAGACAGGGTGGTCTGTATAGACAGGTGAAGGTAACACACTGATGATAACAGGGTTGCCTAAAGTGACCGCTATAGACAGGGTGGTCTGTATAGACAGGTGGATGTATCACACAGCTGATAACAGGGTTGTCTAGAGTGGCCGCTATAGACAGGTGTATGTATCACACAGCTGATAACAGGGTTATCTAGAATGGCCGCTATATACAGGGTGGTCTGTATAGACAGGTGAATGTAACACACTGCTGATAACAGTGTTGTCTAGAGTGGTCGCTATAGACAGGGTGGTCTGTATAGACAGGTGTATGTATCACACTGCTGATAACAGGGTTGCCTAAAGTGACCGCTATAGACAGGGTGGTCTGTATAGACAGGTGAATGTAACACACTGATGATAACAGGGTTGCCTAAAGTGACCGCTATAGACAGGGTGGTCTGTATAGACAGGTGGATGTAGCACACTGCTGATAACAGGGGTGTCTAGAGTGGCCGCTATAGACAGGGTGGTCTGTATAGACAGGTGGATGTAACACACTGCTGATAACAGGGTTGTCTAGAATGGCCGCTATAGACAGGTGTATGTATCACACAGCTGATAACAGGGTTGTCTAGAGGGGGGCAGGGAAGCCACGTGTTCGCCGGCAGCCAATGGGCGCGCATTCTATCCGTGAACTTCAGACAGTGAGCTTCAGACAGTGAACTTCAGACAGTGAACTTCAGACAGACAGAATAAGGCAATTATATAAGTAGATATCTTATAATTTACATATCCTTGAAATTAACCGTTGAATGTACAACGGACTAATGTTCTAGTTACGTTAGGATAAGTTAAATGGTCACAGGTCATGTGATTTCAGTGGCCAATAGGAAAGGTGATGATTGATTCACAAAGTTAGTTAGATTAGTCTGTAGTGTATGTCTACCTGGTCGAGATGGTAGTATCCCAAATGCCACAGCCCGAAGATGGCGTAGGTACGCAGCTGGATGGGGTAGTTACCCTCGATGAATGGCTTCAGGTCCCTGAAGGATTCCTTCAGACTGAATGCTCCGATCAGTTTGACGTAGAAGGTGGCTTCAGACTCGTCTTTGTGGTCGAAGTGACGAATAGCATACTGCACAAAGGTTAATCGTCAAATTATATAGAATATACCCATACCTCGCTTTGCGTCGGGGTTACGTTCCAAAAAAAAAAAAACACGATGCAAAGTAAAAAGGTGTGAAGGCGCAATCAAAAACAAAGGTGTTGCCTTATTTTAGGAAAAAAAATTCAAAAAAAAAAAAAATTTAAGACTCGAATCCAAAACAACGCAACTTCGAAAATCTAACGACGCACAGTGAAAATCAGCAAAAATTAAGCAGCGACGCAACTTCGAAAAAAACGCAAAACGAAACGACGCAAAGCGAGGTATTGGTGTATATACAATCTGTTAATACCATTATCTATAAATGAATTAGCCTTATATTATAAAGTTATACAAACAGTTTAACCGCATAAGTTTCTTTTTTATTTATGAAAAATCATTTTTAATTTCAAAGAGAAATATTTAATATTTCTAACTTTTGGATGACGTATGAAAAGGTTGAATATATGAAGAGTGATGGTCTATATATGAATGGATGACGTATGGAAGGGTGAAAAATATGAAGAGTAATGGCGAACGGAAAAATAAAAGTGTCCAGGAGCGGGAATCGAACCCACAACCTTCTGCTTACCGGGCAGGTGCCATGTCCACTAGGCTATCCTGGACGTATTTCTCCGTTCGTAACTAATATTTAAACTGACTAATAATACTTATAAATGACTGCGGCGTATAATTATAAAGCTATACAAACAGTTTAACCGCATAAGTTTCTTTTTTATTTATGAAAAATCATTTTTAATTTCAAAGAGAAATATTTAATATTTCTAACTTTTGGATGACGTATGAAAAGGTTGAAAATATGAAGAGTGATGGTCTATATATGAATGGATGACGTATGGAAGGGTGAAAATATGAAGAGTAATGGCGAACGGAAAAATAAAAGGGTCCAGGAGCGGGAATCGAACCCACAACCTTCTGCTTACCGGGCAGGTGCCATGTCCACTAGGCTATCCTGGACGTATTTCTCCGTTCGTAAATAATATTTGTTATTTTGTTATAATTGTTTCACAAATTCCTACAATATATATATAGAGGTGTAAGAGGTATTTACATATTTACACTTGAAAAAAAGTTTTAAAAATTCTCTCTTTTTTTCGATTCGATTGATATATATCGTTTAAATCCCTTGCAATTATTTCACAATCTAACATAATATATAACGGTTGATTGAAGTTTATTCCAAATTATATTTTTCACCAACAAAATCATGCCCGGTAAGCAGAAGGGTGTGGGTTCGATTCCCGCCCCTGGACACTTTTTATTTTTCCGTTCGCCATTACTCTTCATGTTTCACCTTTCCATACCTCATCCTCAAAGTTAGAAATGTCGCTATTTCTCTTTGAAAATAAATTTCGATTTTTATAAAAGAAACATTCGCGGTATAATTTCAATTTTCGTTTTACAATCATCAGCCGCGTTATATTGTATTTTAAATGTTACTTTAAGTATTAGTTACGAACGGAAAAATACGTCCAGGGTAGCCGAGTGGTAAGCACCGGCGGTAAGCAGAAGGGTGTGGGTTCGATTCCCGCCCCTGGACACTTTTTATTTTTCCGTTCGCCATTACTCTTCATGTTTCACCTTTCCATACCTCATCCTCAAAGTTAGAAATGTCGCTATTTCTCTTTGAAAATAAATTTCGATTTTTATAAAAGAAACATTCGCGGTATAATTTCAATTTTCGTTTTACAATCATCAGCCGCGTTATATTGTATTTTAAATGTTACTTTAAGTATTAGTTACGAACGGAAAAATACGTCCAGGGTAGCCGCGTGGACAAGGCACCTGCCCGGTAAGCAGAAGGGTGTGGGTTCGATTCCCGCCCCTGGACACTTTTTATTTTTCCGTTCGCCATTACTCTTCATGTTTCACCTTTCCATACCTCATCCTCAAAGTTAGAAATGTCGCTATTTCTCTTTGAAAATAAATTTCGATTTTTATAAAAGAAACATTCGCGGTATAATTTCAATTTTCGTTTTACAATCATCAGCCGCGTTATATTGTATTTTAAATGTTACTTTAAGTATTAGTTACGAACGGAAAAATACGTCCAGGGTAGCCGAGTGGACAAGGCACCTGCCCGGTAAGCAGAAGGGTGTGGGTTCGATTCCCGCCCCTGGACACTTTTTATTTTTCCGTTCGCCATTACTCTTCATGTTTCACCTTTCCATACCTCATCCTCAAAGTTAGAAATGTCGCTATTTCTCTTTGAAAATAAATTTCGATTTTTATAAAAGAAACATTCGCGGTATAATTTCAATTTTCGTTTTACAATCATCAGCCGCGTTATATTGTATTTTAAATGTTACTTTAAGTATTAGTTACGAACGGAAAAATACGTCCAGGGTAGCCGAGTGGACAAGGCACCTGCCCGGTAAGCAGAAGGGTGTGGGTTCGATTCCCGCCCCTGGACACTTTTTATTTTTCCGTTCGCCATTACTCTTCATGTTTCACCTTTCCATACCTCATCCTCAAAGTTAGAAATGTCGCTATTTCTCTTTGAAAATAAATTTCGATTTTTATAAAAGAAACATTCGCGGTATAATTTCAATTTTCGTTTTAAAATCATTTTATTGAGATATTTCGTTTTGGATTCCGGAATCCAAAAAAAGGGTGAGTTAAAGAGTATCAATAAGTAAATGTTGTTGTTGTTGCTTATTCCCCAAGTCACCACTTTTAAAGATGGGAGGAAGGCTCCCTGACCTCCAGTCCTGGATCTTCGGGACAGGCCCGATAGAAGACGAGCTGGCCATCCTCGCATCGGCGAAATCAATAATCAACCGATACTTCATCCAGGTCGGACTGGCCCAGACCATCGAGGACCCCGTCATCGCCTGAAGGAGGACACTATCGCAGTGGGGACCTGGCTGATTGTATATAGTTCTCTTGATCTTTTTCATGTAAATATTAACTAAGAAGTCAATAAAAGTGTTCTAATTGTCAAAATTTTCACTCTTAAATATGGAATGAATAATGGTTTTACACCAACCCGAGGTAAAATAGCCAGAATTCTGTTGAATATGTTTTTCAGAGTAGTTAGGTATGAAATGGACAAGTACTTTATTCCCCAAGTCGTTTAAACGATCTCTATTAGGTCCCAATTGTCTCTGATTTTCTAATCAAAAAGAAAAAAGGTAATTAGAGAGAGATACACACAGCAAAGACTTACCTGGTAGTATTTGGCGGCCTTCTCAGGGGTGCAGCCGCGGCGATGGAGATGGTGGTAGTCCTTGACGACGTAGGGTTTGGTGACACATTTGTCACGCACCAGATGGGCGAAGCTGAAGAGACAGTGATGATGGACATGGATATGGTCGCGGACAGCTGGATTGTCGCAGAGTCGCTGTCACATAGCTGATCTGTCACCTTAGTTGAACAACAGCTCCCTAAATTACTGAGAACAAAAACAAGACAGGGTTTATACAGCAAGACTTAGCGAGAATGGAATACTTGAGGTCTGGTTATACAAATCATTTTACAATAGTTCTATTCCAGAACAATATTCTTCTTGGAGAGAATTTGTCTTCAAACATAACAGGATACATTACTCAAGTCCGAATTACATTAACATTCTTAAAAGGTAACAGTGCACACTTTTGTTATACAATATAATGCGGCTTATGATGGTAGAACGACATTTAGAAATTATCCCGCATGTGTTTCTTTTAAACGAAAAATCGAAATTTATTTTAAGGAGAAATAGCGATTATTTCTAACCTTAGGGATGAAGTATGAAAGGATGAATTGTGAAGAGTAATGATAATGGAAAAATAAAGTGTCCAGGGATGGGAATTCTCATTTTTCCGTTTATCATTACTCTTCACAATTCATCCTTTCATACTTCATCCCTAAAGGTTAGAAATAATCGTTATTTCTCCTTAAAATAAATTTCGATTTTTCGTTTAAAAGAAACACATGCGGGATAATTTCTAAATGTCGTTCTACAGTACATACTTTTATAAGTTGGATAAATCATCTAAATCAGAAAATTATCAAAAGTACAAAATCGTGAGGCGAAGAGAATTTCTTGTAAGATTTTTATTTAGCTGAACTTTCGAGTTTTTCTGGTCTTCTACAAGAGTAGGTTTTTAACTTATATTTTTCTTGATAATTTTTCATATCTTCCACGTTAGGAATTTTATACTGATTAAAAAAAACTTACATGAAACTTTTCACCTTTCGATTTTGTACTTTTAATAAAAAGTTCACAGTTTCTAGGGGTTTAAGAGAAGATCGTACTTACGTAGTATTCATCCAGCAGTCCTTCAGTGACTTCCTTGATGTGCGGCGTGATTTGCACGATGAATTCCTGGGCCCGGCTTGGCGTTACACGGGTGGTCTGGATGAGATACTTGCCAAACATGAAAGCCGGGTTGGTTCCACAGGCTTCCAAGGCATCGAAGAACAGATCCCTACACCAAACATCATGCCACCCATCCTGGCAAAATGACTATAGGCTATACTTACAGGTAGTAAGAATCCAACGCACTGTACTTGGTGTAGAGGACTTCAAAATCGTCATAGCTGAGAGTTCCGAAGGAATTCACGAGTTCCAGGAACTTGGCAGTGTGGTTGTTCTTGATGAAGTTGTCGTTGTACTTCTCGCCAGCGTAGTCCGCTACGATCTCGCCGAAGAGACGCTCGACCTGGAATATCAGTAAATATCAGCTCTTATCATATTTCCACTATCCTTCATAGTTGGTGAATATACTAATAATATAATATATATCAAAAATATCATACTTTTTTCATTTTTATACATATTCCCCGTTTCGTTCGACGCATTTTTTCATTCGAGACACCCACTTATGGAACACAGAGTCAAAGAACTCTGCCGCCTGACCGCGTAGAAAGCCTAAAACCCTTCTTCCAACTCGTCATCGTACTGGAATTGGGTTCCACCCAGGTTTTTCTTCAACTCGGGGAAGAGATGAAAGTCACTAGGAGCTACGTCCGGGCTGTAAGGTTGGTGTGACACCAATTTCCAACCAAATTATTCGATGAGGGCGGTGGTTTGACGGGCAGTGTGCGGCCGAGCGTTGTCGTGGTGAAAACGCACCCCTTTGGTTAACATCCCTCTCCTCTTGTTCTGAATCGCGCGTAGAAGTTTTTTTAAGGTCTCACAGTACTGGTCGGAATTGATTGTTGTACCCCGACGCATAAAGTCTCACAGCAAAAGGCCCTTTCGGTCCCAAAAGACGGTAGCCATAAGTTTCCCGGCAGAAAGCGTTTGTTTGAACTTTGGAGGTTTCAGCGAATAAGTGTGCTTCCACTGCTTGAATTGCTCCTTTGTATCCGGTGTGGTGTAGTGTACCCAGGTCTCATCACCAGTAACGATCGAATCCAAGAATTCCTCTCCGTCAGTTTCGTGGCAATCGAGAAATTTCTGGGCCACTTCAACCCGCTGCCGTTTATGGTCTTCAGTCAGCATTTTCGGAACCCATCTTGCGCAGACCTTTGGATACCCTAAATATTCACACAAAATCTTGTCGATGGTGGTTTTACTGACATCAGGAACCAAATCGCAGAGCTTCCGCTTGACGGTCACCTGTCGATCTTCAAGCATTGCCGCTACGACTTTGTCAATGGTTTCGTCCGAAACCGATGGCCGTCCAGCACGCGGTTTATCGTGGACCTCCGTTACGGCCGTTTTTACATTCTCTGTCCCATCTGCGCACCATCCTGGAACTCATACACTGACCGTAATTCGCAGCTGGCGGGAGACACGAGGGGAAGCTCCATCACTAACGGCTGCTCAGCCAAGACTAGGTTTACCAGCGACGTGGCCTTGGTAGGAAATTGGAGTGGGGAGTACAAGCTATGACCCCGCGCAGTCGGCTCGCGCCTAAAAGCGATCCTCATGACAGTGGTGCCCGTGGAACTTATTTAACGGACAACCCTCGTAAAAATATTTCTTACCGTCCATACGGCAATTCATTTTCATCATCTTTCATGGATGTATATATATATATATATATATATATATTTTTTTTTTAATTTAATACAAGTATATATTTGAGAGAGGAATTTTTCAAACTAAAGTTTCTGTAACTTTTCTCTCTCCTAGAGATCGTTACTCTCACCAAGTAACACTATGAAAATGTAAATTGAAATTGAGTTTAAGAAATTTTTGATGTGTATTATTTTTTATAAATTTAAACAATTTTCTACTGCCCTTACTGCAATGTTAAAATATTGGGAGGGCCTGGCTCATCAGTGGTGAACCCTCCCAGTGGTTTCGCCAGTTTAATCTGCCTTACCGCGGTAATATTGTATTTAGCTGTTTTTCTTTTATACCGATACTGATGCTAGACTCTTGGAAAAGGTATTTTAAATGAACTATGGACATAAGAGGACAGTAGAGATACAATTATAAATACATAAATAAAGTTTAAAACTATTATAGACGCGTATGATTCTTTTTAAAAATAAACAATTTCTATACTGCCCTTACTGCAATGGAAAAATTAATGGGAGGGCCTCATACGCGTCTATAATGGTTTCCCATTTTGATAACAAAAGGCGCGCTAATGCATCATAGCATATATAAAGTAAGTATTGAATATAAAAATATATATAAATTCATATAATGAATAAGAAGTACAAAATTCGAACTTCTTTCTACATGTGTGAAGTACATCTTACATGGAAACCATTTACCCACAGTGATTATCCGAATTGCGCTCCAGGAACCTGGGTTATAAATATCTTCTACACAACGTGTACTGGCGATAGGAACAAAAGGATGAATTATAACATTTAGGTTGTTTATATTAATTGTTTTATCGTCTTAATATTTTAGAAGTTAAAATCAACAGATGGGTTCACTCTGATGTAAAAATGACATAGATGGATGATGTATCAATTAATAGACAGATCCCCAGTCAGTTCAAATGATAATTTCTAAGAATAGCTATATAGAAATGTGAAGTTATTTTGACAATATAGTTACTTGAATATATCTATCTATATATATATCCTATATTATAATTAAATAACACAGCAATAGTTTTATTTAACAGATATTTTATATAGGTTTATATATTGCAATGCATTTTTATATAGTTATAAGTTGTGTAAATTTGTAATCTACCCATTGTGTCATGCCATCTTTCCCAGCTTTACATTAAGGAGCCTACTCCAAAAGCTGAGTTTGATTAGTGTCCATTTGTAATTCATGAATTTTATGTTTTTAATAAGCGTCAATCAACCGTTTAATTATGAATAATGCATTCAGCTGAGTTTCCGCTTCGCACTCCAAAAGCAGCAAAGATCCCAGAGTCCAGAGATGATCAGGTCCAGAGTCCATATCTCGAGGGGAAAGCTGGAAGCCTCCATCAGTTGAGCGTCCACTTCGAGAATCAGCATTGGTCCCACGTCCCAGAGATGATCAGGTCCAGACTCCAGATATCGAGAGGAAAGTTGCAGGAATTGCTCAGTTGGTTTGCAGTTGAGCGTCCACATAGTTAATCAGCATAGTTAAGATTGCAGGGGTGGCGATGTCCATTTATAAAATCCGGCCATTAAGGCACATGGGCCAACAGGCCACGTTCAAGGCCACACAGCCAATAGAGTACACGGCAGTCACCCATAGCCATTATAGGCAAAATAATTCTAAGCCCGTAAGGCAAATTTAAAGACACCACCACCCGGAAGGACTGCCAAAACTCTATGATTGTTGAGACAGGTTACTAAGGCAACAATGGAACGTCCAAGAATCCTTTAAAATGTCCCCATCTGACATAATTCTCAGATAGTCTAATAAATATACATACAGCCTATGAAAAGGGGCGTATATTTTTTATATTTATTATATAATTTAATGAATTACATATTTTATTCTTATAAAGATTATCGATTAAAGGTACTTATATATATTTAAAGGTTCTCAAAAAGATTACCGATTTAAAAGTTTATTTTATTTTATTTAAAGAAACATATTTTCATTTAAGTATTGTTATTTATTTTAAAAGATTAAGTAATTGTGCAAAACGATAATTGCCTTAAAAAGAAATTGCCTTAAAAAAAAAGAAACATTCGCGGTGATTTTGTCTTGCATTCGTTTATACAATTATTATATATATTGGCATCATATTTTAACTTTATGAACGGAAAAATATGTCCAGGATAGCCTAGTGGTCATGGCATCTGCCCGGTAAGCGGAAGGTCGTGGGTTCGATCCCTTGTGACCAAAATCTATCCGTGAACTTCACACAGACAGAATAAGGCAATTATATAAGTAGATGGCAACTTATAACTATAAGTGTCTTTATTCAGTAATGGACAAGAACTACCGGAATCCATTGTTATTTCATTTCCATCTAAATTTGCTGTAATATAGAATGGACAATTTTTATCTTCCGTTTTGAGGCTCTACAATGACGGGTCTTTAGAACTTATTTTTATGCAAATATTTAAGGTTAATCATTTTTGTTAAACAAGCTTTCTGTAAATGACCTAATTTTACCACATTTGAAACATTTACCCTTTTGAAAATTACACAGTTATGGCATGTGGTTTTCTTTACAACGAATGCAAATTATTATTTTTAATGATCTATTAGATTCAATTTTCTTTGGTTTAAACTTAGGCTATAAAATAAAGCGTTAGGAGAAAATAATTTTTAATAATTGACTACACGAGCTCGTGTAGTCGATTATTAAAAATTATTTTCTCCTAACGCTTTATTATATAGTATTTATAATCCAAGGAGAAAGTTTCCATGTTTAAAAAAGTTAAACTTAGGCTACTCAAATTTATTTAGTTTTTTTAATCACATTCTGGTATTTTTTCCTGTAGGACACTTGCATCTGTAGTAGCCGATTCATCACAAAGTACCAAGTTTACAGATTTTTCAATGGTTAAATTCCTTCTCAGACAATAGCCCTTTAACCAAAGATTTATTTTTAAAGCCATACACCAGCTTATTTCTTAAACGATCATACAAATCAATAAATTTGCAATTCTCACATAATTTTCTTAATTCTGCCACATACACGGAAACAGATTCTGTGCCTTATTCTTTTTATAATTATAACGTTGCATTATGCACTATTACGTTTGGTTTAGGGCAAAAATGTTCTGTGTAAATAATAATTTCATTATAATCAATATCAAATAAGCTTTTAGGTGCAGCCAATGATCTTGATAAACTTCTGAACAGATAGTTCTTCAACTAAAGTATAAAATCGTTTTCTTCTGTTTGATTTTTTCGATACGATTTTCTAAGACATAAAAATATTTATTTTCTAGATACGCAATCCACTTTTAATACTTGGATGAATCAAATTTTTCAAGATTGCCAAAAACACTCGCCATTATAAAAATATTTTGTGTTTAAAATTATCAATATTTTATATTTAAAACTTTTACTTACCTTCTTAATTGAATCGCCATCCTCGCCGCCAAACTTTTCAAACTTATTTTAATAACAAATTGTTTAATATAACAATGACAATTTATTCTTCGGCATATGTTTTTTATAGCAATGATGATGATAACACCGAATACAAATTTAATAATTATGGCGAAGTGGCAAAGAAATAATTTTATAACTTATTTTATTATTTAATTAATAAATGAAAATAAACAGCAGAATATAATTCTGTATTTATGAAATCATTATATATATGTTCCATAACTTTGTTGTTTAATATTCTCTAGCTGTAAATAATTTGTTAGTTGAATGTAGTAGCCTAGGTGTGTTGACGTCTTAAATAAAATATCGTCTGCTTTATCACCGTGATCTACCTAGTCATCCATTACTTCCTACAATATTTATATGAACAAATATAAAATAGTTGTAAAATAAATATTTGTTAATTTGCAAATTTAGAATTAATGACTAAAAAAATTAAATATATATTTTATTAATAAAAATACATTTTTTAAACTTTTAAATTGAAATAAAATGAAGAAAGAAATTAATATTTTAGCTTCGGCCATTTAACGATTAGAACCATATATGTCAAAATAAAATGTGTGGGGGACAATCATCGTATATTGAGTGAGAGGTAGAATATTTAGTGAAACATAAAACTTATCATTACTCAATATTAAAGTCGAAATTCTTTATGATCATGCCCCAACCTCTTTTGACTCATAAATCTAATTGTTTAATGGCAGAACCTGAAATATATATATAATTTTAAGTGTTCTTTAATAAAATTTTAAAAAATATATATTTGTTATCAATTATTTATAACTTATCAACTCTCTGATAAGAGAATACCTCTCTTTTAATGACATTCAACTAGTTGAAAGAGAGGTTCTACCGTATTATGTGCAAAGTGAGAGACATAAAGACATTTTTTTCAAAATTTTATTTAAAATTCCACAAATATTCCAATCCAAACAAAAATGATCAATCAGTATTTCAATCAAGCTATATTACACTATAAAATATTTATTTATTAAAATAATACAAGAGTACAAAGTTGCACATTGGGAACAAAACTCATCACAGAGTTATGTAAATAAATAAACTTTTTTTTTCTACAAAAATAAATCTATATTAATAATAAATTATATATCTATCAACTAATAAAAATACAAAAATGTACAAAATCTCTTAAGAAAGAGAGAGAGTCTCTGGTGCAAGTTTATAAAAAAATATATTATTTTCTGACTGTTAAAAAAACGTGTATAATGAAAGTTGCTGATTTTTCACTTTGGTGTTCACTGCACATCTACGCCTTAGGTTGAAGATTGGCTGTTATTAGATAAAGGCACATTTTATCTACCCATTTTATTAAAATTCTAAAACACCTATTTTCTAAGACATGAAAAACTAAATGATTCATAATACGACACGCTCTCAATTTTCAATGAAAAATAAGAAAAATCTTTAAAACAAAACATTTCAAGAGAAGCTTGCAATTATAAACAAGAAAGAAAAGGAAACCCAAGGCAACTTCTACATCAATTAAGAAAAAACGGAGAGAGAGAAGTGGAAAAAAGAAAGAAAAAATGAGTGGTCAGAAAAAAATAAATAAGGAAAACGGACCATTTCACAGAAGAATGAACATCCAAGATCCCACACCTCAACCTTGTAAATGTGTAAATACAGTGTAAATATGATGTACATATTATCTACTGTAAATGTGATGTACATAATATCTACTGTAAATATGATGTACATATTATCTACTGTAAATATGATGTACATATTATCTACTGTAAATATGATGTACATATTATCTACTGTAAATGTGATGTACATATTATCTACACTGTAAATGTGATGTACATATTATCTACTGTAAATGTGATGTACATAATATCTACTGTAAATATGATGTACATATTATCTACTGTAAATATGATTTACATATTATCTACTGTAAATATGATGTACATATTATCTACTGTAAATATGATGTACATATTATCTACTGTAAATATGATGTACATATTATCTACTGTAAATATGATGTACATATTATCTACTGTAAATATGATGTACATATTATCTACTGTAAATATGATGTACATATTATCTACTGTAAATGTGATGTACATATTATCTACACTGTAAATATGATGTACATATTATCTACTGTAAATATGATGTACATATTATCTACTGTAAATGTGATGTACATATTATCTACACTGTAAATATGATGTACATATTATCTACTGTAAATGTGATGTACATATTATCTACTGTAAATGTGATGTACATATTATCTACTGTAAATGTCATAAGCTGGGTTTGAGTGGTAAAGTTATTTGTGAACTGGAATGATGAACTAAGTATAGAATTTATTGGGATTCACACATTGGAGACACCAGCTCAAGCTCCCTTAGTACATTTATGGAACAACTGGAGAAACCAATAAAATCCCCTCTATCAATATAAAACATCAGGCTTCCAGGGAATTGTTTCTTTTAAAACATTTTAATTTACAAATCTCTACCTTTCAGGCACAAAATTGCAATTTATTGTAACGTTTACTCCTATAAAAGTACCCTAAAGCTAGAAATTTGTAAATTCAAATTTAGTTAAATGAAACTTATCCCTGGATTCCTGATGTTTTCAACTTAACAAAACAATAATGTTTTCAACAAATAAAATCCTCTACGATATACTGTTAGACCTCTCTATAGCGCCCCCTCTAAATAGCGCCTTCCTCTCTATAGCGCCCAATTTTAAACATTTTACATTAAAAGTGACCTGTCTATAGCACTCTATTTTGGTGAGTCCCAAGAGACAGGTTTAACTGTATATATATAAGTAATAAACAAAATGGACATCGAGGGTGAGTTTCTTACTTTAATATCATCTCAAGCTTTCATAGTATTATAAGGATGAGGATTCCTGTAGAAGGATTTATAAAACCTGAAAGCTTGAGATGAATATAACATAAGGAGGAGCCGTTTTGTTTATTATTTATATAACCATAATGTTTTACCGCCAGTTGAAAAACTATGGCTATGGAGGAAATGCCTCAATGATTCTTGATTGAAGGGGTCACACCAGTTTTAGGACTAATTCGAATGAAATATTAGACACCTAATATACAATATGTCTGCAGGCCATCCATGAGAGTTTAAAACAACACAAGATATATCTCCATACTCTATTCTGCTAATATGCAAAAATACCTTTCTCAAATGTTAATGGCAGGAAATCTGTTGGTTATGGAAATTTTGGGACGTAGATGTGCAGTGGATATGCAACTTGGAGGGGGAGGGAAGGGTTATATGCAAAATGAAACCAATATGCAAAGTGGAGTTAAGATGAAAATTAAGATCATGTGTATCCGTGTAGAAAAATATATATTTACAACAAAATAGAGTTTGCTGGGAGGGTCAGATACCACAGTATGTGGCAAATGACATTCCTACACAAAGGCTAACTGCCGTACTTTGCATATTGTCCAAATTGTTTCAGTATAGTGTGTAGTGTACAAGTTTGTTATGTAAATTATGCACCAATAACTGTATAAAAACCTTTATGTCTGTGTGGACCATTATAAATAATGGAACTTTTCTCAACTCCATTGATTGATTATCACAAAATATTTTACATTATTATATTAAAAAACACAAGAAATATATTAATAAATTGCATCATCATTTTATAATTTTATATATTTTAAAAAAGTAATATTAAAAATAACCAATTTATAAACACAAGGTAAAAAGACCAAATCCAAATAAATAAATAGTGTGTGACGTTTCGGTA